GTAAGAGCAGCTGTAAGCAATTTGAACAGAAAGTGAAATGTTATGTGGCTCATCACTGTACAAGTCCCTTATATAAAAATCTTTCCTTAGTAACAGCCTGATGAAAATAGGTTTTCCTATAAGTGATGCAACATAAGGATGAAAGTGCAGTGCTCAAACAAGTCCAGAAGTAGTGAAAGAGAGTGCCTCGTAACAGTTTGGTGGTAGTAGTTACGTGCTTTGATATGAGATCCCAGTCCTTGAGCAGAGTTGTTGTTTTTTCTTTCCTAAGATGAAACCAATCTCATATGTATATAAAAAATCATTCTTAAAAATGTATGTATGTCCTACCTGAGACCAGCTGCATGTCAGAAAGCTTCAGCTTAGAAGGAGGTCTTGTTGTCTGATACACTTTGCCTTCCTGAGAATGTCCTGTAACAAACAATATGAACATCCCTTTGTTTATTCACATAAAGTTGTTGTTATGTATAGCTATCAACTATTTAAGCAGGTTACAGCCTTCTTTTATCCTAAAAATTATTCTCATTTATGACAAGGAAACTCAACGAGACATTCTATATGACAGAAATTCACAACAACCACAACTGAACTTTAACTAAAGTGAAAATACCTCTTGCAGTTATTAAAAAAGAAGGAAAATCATTTTATTAGCTTCATTTACTTACTTACTTTGTCATTTCTGGCTATCCAAACTGCAGAGTCACCATAAAAGCGGTGAAGTACACATAGTCATCACAGCCTTATGCCATCAGTGATCCACATGTAAAGGAACTCAAGGTTTTAAAGCGATGCTTTTCCTCCACCCTGTCTTCAAGCTGCATTCCTTTGCACCACCCTCAGTCAGGCAATGTGCAAAGCAGTGTGGTTGTCACCCTAAAGGTGATCTTTCTCTTCCAGTAAAGACAAGCTGTCTTCAAACAGGGAAGCTACTAACATGGAACAAGCTCGTATTCTTCAAGTGTTAATATTTTAAAAGTGATACAGAACCAAGAAAGTTTAAAATAATCCTTAAAAAAATTAAACTGTGATCTAGACAGCCAGAGAGCGTTGGTACAGCCAACTCTCCCAGTGTAACTGCTCTGTGCTCCTGCCACAGTGACACAGGTGAGCAGCTCTGGCAACAGAATTATTGGGATGCTGAAGGCCTGTGCTGGAATAACGCCACGTGCTAATTCCAATGGCTTTTGCAGCAGCCATTTTACAGCACAGAGGTTTCTGCTTTGGGTTTTTTTTCCAACTTGAAACAGAAATACAGGGAACACGCTTTTATAAGACCGAAAGTATAACTAGTTAAGACAGAGTGAAGACAAAATTACCGTAGATCTGCTTAAGGATGGACTGCTTGCTGTTTTTTATAGCCGAGCTGGTTTTGTTTATAGATTTGAGATTTTTACACGAAGAAACTGATTTCAGGGGGCCATGGTTCAGTTGTTTCTTCCAAGCAACCTGAATGAAGAAGGCAGCTGTCTCTTGTCTCCATTTGTCTTCATCTTCTTTGCACTGCCGCTTGGCACCGAGAAGCTGAAACAACTCCTGTCTTAGGTGGTAACTAGAGAGCAGAAAAGAGAAGAGCACTTGTTTTAGGTGACCTGTTTTAACTTCAGTGCTTTCCACGCATCAGTTCACATAGTGGATTACATGAGTAACTGGGAAAACAGAACTCCCACTGATGTGCTAAGTCATTTGGATGAGAAATGTTTGCTCAGAAGAGAAAAGTAGGAGCTGGGTTCAGTTTTGGATGCATCCATTTGTTTCACACAGCTAATAAAATTACGGCAGTATCAGGTATCAAACGTTACAGTAGTGCAACATCAGCTTATAATGTATAGAAAATCTGGAGAAGACAAAACCTATAAATATTTATGATGTAACAGTATCATCAGTACTGTTTTCTCATTTTCACTATATTCACAGCTTAAAAAAACAACGGCGTTTTCTCACGTGCCTTATCACTTCGCATCCTCAGTCAATCAGCGCACGAGATGAGCCAAATCTACCTCGCACGGGTTCAGCCGCACATCTCGTCTGCAGAGGAGCGAGCAGCTTCCCAGCCCTCCTCTGAAGATGCTCCCCTCACCTTGTTCTCAGCAATCTGTTCTGCCTTTTTTCCCTTCCCTTCAAAGGCTCCCCATCTCCAGACTCAGCCTCGCCACGGCTGCTTTGATGTCACATGCGGTCACAGCCCCGTGCCAAGTGGCAACGGCAGATTATCTGTCGTCCTTCCCACCTCCGTGGCTAATGGCACTGGCAACTGGAGTTGTTTGTTGGTTTGTTTTTTTCTTGAGTAAGACACAAGTATTCAATCAGATATTGGCATTTCATGCTCACAAGTCAATTAACTAGCTTAGCAATTAACTCCGAATCTTCCAGTACTAACTCATCACAAAAAAACACTAACACTTGTAAAATATTAATTATAAGTGTTTGGTAATGGGCCAAAACACATTGGTCACCATCCCTCTGGCATTCAGAAAGGCTTCTGCTGAATGCCCTGGTAAAGTGAAGGAGGAAGGAGGGAGAAAGAGGTGATTTTGTTCTGTTGCTCCATCTGCAACAAGATCTAAAACCAAAAGCCAACACAACCTGAGACAAATTGTTTAAATATTCTATAAGCCCATGCACTGCCTCATTCAAACAAAACGGCAGCCGCGTACAGAAGACGAGTCCTTCAGAGCCCAGCAGAATGCCAAAGGGGGATGATCTGCTCAGTTACAGTCCCAATAACTTTAAACTTTCAATGAGCTTAGTAAATTACCTCTTTGAAATTTGCTGGGTGAAACAGGCTTATTTAATCTTAACTTAGTGGAGCTTCAGAATTCAGGCACATACTGTTACCCAGCTTGTTAAAATACCTCACAAACAGGGGGAGCAACTGCATTTTACCAATAAATGTCCATAGTGCCGACAAGGTGCTGTATGAGTTCAGAACAGAAGCATTATTAAGAAACAAACCCAAGCAAAACGATTTCGTTTTCTTAAAAAACACATCAATAAGAACTCTTCAGCGGGGTAAGAGAAGAAGAGAAAGTGAAAGGGGACACAATTACAGTGACTTGCAAACATAACTTGAGCTAAGGATGGGCTGTGTGAGTACCGCTGCAGGAAAAACAACTGAGGAACTGTTTCACACTTGAGCAGAAAAGGATGCTAAGCTATTATCTCACAATTTGGTAATTACTGCCAGAAGCCTTTGCTGATACATGAAATGACCCATTGACACACACTCCACCTTTGCACCCAGCCGTGATTTTATGTCTGTAGTGAACTTCTGGTAGTTTGTAGCAACAAGAAAACAACCACGCGGCTCTGAAATTGAGAAGATGTAGGCAGTTAATCTTTAGAGTGCACGCACATTTTTTTAATTCACCTCTCCCATAACAGATCATTCTGATCCTAGTGAGAAAAAAGAAGAATGGGATCGAGTTTGATGCTCTGCGAATCTGGCGTAGTGCCTTACCAAAATACCCAAAGTTTTGTCAGCAAAGCTACTGCACATAAAGAAACATGGAATGTATGTGGAGAAGGACAAAGCTGGCAAATGGTATTCGGATTCATCGTTGCAGAAGCTCCTAGTCTTAAAAGCTCCTGCTCATCAAAGTACGCACAGAGCAATAAAAGAGAAAAAATACAGCTCAGCTGCAGCAGGAGAACAACAGTGACAGGAACCAGCTCATTTCCAGCTTCTGTCGATTCCCTGTAGACCCTGGAGAATGGCACAGGCCTCAGTGCCCCCCACGAGAGAGTGAGCCAGACACAGGATCTGTAAGCTTCAACAAGCAAGATAAGCAATTAACCTTTGGCAAGCCACACACCTTAAAATACACTTTTGAGGACTACATTGATAAAGTTTGTGGACCGTGGGAATTGAAACATTTTCCTGAGAAAGGCCAGTTTAATAGATTTAAGTAGACCAGTACCATTGTGCTGTAGCTCATGACAGCGCTCAATAAACTTCTAGTAAGTAAATCACGACTATAAAACTTGTGGAGCAAGGCAAATGTACTTAATCCTACTTTCGAGGAATGCCAGAACTCAAGTAGGTACTTCTGCATGTTTCTAGTGCAGAATTACACATTAACAATTATATACACATTATAGACATTAACACTGTGGAATTCTGTTGCTGTCTACATGGATATGGTATTTACTAGTGCAAGCCTAGGCCCAAAACACAACGACAGGACTGAGTGGAACCCACAGCCACACAGTAGGTACCTGCTTAAGAACTGTAATTCTGTGTATAGCGGATGGGAAATTAGGTACTTCAGCGAGACTGTCAGGATCACTGACACACTAGTAGTCAGCACAGACGGCTGCCTAGTGTGAGATAGCTCCAAACACTAACCATGACTTCTTGACAGGTAAGTACCACCATCTGGTTTGGGACCCACATCCTAAATTGCCAACACTATCTCTTTTTTTGACACATGTGTGAACTCTGCTTCAAAGGGAGAGGCAGAACTCCCTTCTTTTAAAAAATAAACATTATTGCTGTGGTAATAGCATGGGAATTGGGAGGAGGAAATCTGGTCCGATTTCACAGCTCGTCATCCAAGTTTCAAAACACTCAGACAATAAAGCTCACACTGAGTTTGAGGCTAAGCAGAGAAGGTGGCAGAACTGGTGGGACTCGGAGAGAGAGTGCAGGAGGGAAGCACAGCTCCTCCTAACAGTCCACACTTCAGCATTGCTGCCCAAGGAACTGTTCTATGTTCTGCATCAAAACATTCACTGAAATAAATGCGTTACGATATTGCTGCCAACTTTATGAACTTCATCAAAGCTCTAGCATGAGTAAGCTGTCCAAAGACGTAACAAAATGACAGCGGAGGAGCTGCCAAACCAAGCTCTCCTGCAGCTTTGCAGAATTTATCATCCTCGTTAGTGTTCTATAAACTAGGAGTTTTGCAAACAGAACAAATATATGTATTGTTCTTTATTAATTCTTTAAATAACAAATGTCATTTAAACAATCTTTCATTCTTACAATTTCCCAGGTGTTGTAAAGCAAGTGCACGCACTTCTTGACAAGATAGCACACCGTCGCTCTTTCAGCAGGTGAATAGTTTAGAAAGATCTATCCAAAACTTTCAGATTGTCAAAACTTTAAATGGAATGCAAAGATTCCTACACAGGTAAGCTAGCTCAGCACAAGGTTTTAGATCCCAGTTCTTGTAAGGAAATTTGCAGAAGAGCTCACTAGTCATCTACGCTCTGACTGAAAGCTATGGCATCTGCCTACTCCTCTGCTGTAAGTTGCTTCTAGTTTTGTTAGGTCAGAAAACAATTTCAGGTGTGTTCATAAACGATGGTCAAGGATCTGGCTACAAGAACCTTTTCAGGAAAAACCCCATATCCCTACACACGCAAGTCTGCTGATGAACACGACAGCGCTGATTTAGGCAAATCTTGATTGGCTCTCTTGAAAAGAACTATCAGCACCTGAAACAGAAGTTTAATAACTTCTCCAATTTTTACAAATCATGACTTATCTTACACTGTTTATGAACTGACTACTGCAATCCTAGGCAATTGGAATCCATTTCCACATCTTTGGTGAAAGATGACTAAATACCTGATTTAGCACTAGTAACGTAGTAAGCAAAAGGACCAAAAAAAATTCATTGCCAGCAAGTCTAATTTAATTTACATCTACCTGCATCTCACTCTTCTTTAGCTACCGAAAGAGTCGGCTTACCTTCTCCATGTTCTCTGTATGACTGTAGCAGCATAGTTCTTCTTCCGAAACAGCTCTTTTCTTTTTCTTTCTTTTTCTATTATCTGCATCCGGACCTCTGAGGGGATTAGTTCAATATTTGTACTTTGCCACGTGACAGAACATAATTGATCATCTGCATTCCTCGATCCAATTACACCTGTTTTTCCCAAGTTCAAACTGTCGTCAGGAGCAGAACACGCTGCTGGGTTTCTTGGTGCAGTTCTGGTGGGTTCTGCCTCAGCAGACAATAAAGAGGAGGCCCTTTTTGCTAATTCATTGTTTCCCACTTTGTGAGTTTGTTCTGCAGCATGCACACTGCCATCTCTGGTGTTTCCAAATACCATTTTGGCACTCCCTGGTCTACTAGAGCCAGCTGGTGAAGATCGCTCATCATTTACCTCTTTATTTCTGGATTTCTGCTGATGCCTTTTGCCTTTGGAAGAAGCTTCACACTGCTTTGAGTTTCTAACGATTCCACTGGTGAAAGTGCCGTTGCAGAAGAAAACAGCTGCTCCTTCACAATGGTCCCTGTTGCCAGATGAAGGCTGACTTGGATGTCTTAACTTTTCCCCAGCACTAGGAGTCCTACAGGCAGAAGCGTGCCTTCTGCTCCTCCGAGCACAAGTCCTCGTTGCCTCGACAGTGTGCTCCTTGTGCTTTTCTCCACCCACTTCTGTAGCAGCTAAAACCTGACGTTTCATTTCAACTTTTGTTCCCTCTTTCACTTTGTCACAATGGAAGTGGACACAACTTGACTTGCCTTTGCCGTGTTTCCTCAACGAATCTTTAGAGAGAGAAATGGAAGCCAACATTCAGTCTCTAATCCAAAAAAACATTCTTTATGTGTCTAATCCTTTTGCTCAGTCACCTTTGAGGCACACTAGAAAGTCACAAGGAGAAACTGTTTCTTCACCTACCTGAAAAAACACTGATCACCTTGAAAGAAACAAGCTCACCACATGAGGCAGGAACGCAGCCTCATGAACACACCTGCGTGTTCCAGCGAAGACACCAGAACAGCCCTTCCCTGCATCAAGTTTATTTAAATTCTGCTCTAGCCCCTCGGCAGCCTGGCAGGCAATGACACACGGCGAACCCAGAGCGCTTTGCTTCTTAGTACTTTCCTTGACATCCTAAACCAACCTGTGAAGTCCATCCTGTTCTTCCCTTGCTGCAGAATTTCTTTTCCAAGCCTCGGGTGGGAGAATAACCCCTGTGGGATAAATGCTTCTAAAGACTCTTTTGACGATGACTTGGAAGCCAGAGTAAAACTGAAAATATCCATCTACCATCCCATTCACCTTCTATTTTGTTAGGAAACTAACAGGGGAATGAGAAAATAGACCAGAAATGTACAAACAGGGTGTTAAAGGGTAGGTATAAGGGGAAAAAGAAAAGAAAGGTATCTCTGATATAATGGAATCATGGAAAATCTTGGGACCATCCAAAACCTGCTAGAGCAGTGCTACATTCTTCATCAGTGTAACACTTTCACAGGATAATCCCTTGACAGGGTAACAGAACGCGGCAGATCAACAGATTATACAGAAGAAACTCAGGATTATCATCAATGATGTCTCCAGCAGAGAAGACTGATCACAGTAACAGGTCAGTCTGGACTGAGAGGTTACTCTAATTTACACATGATTGTCATATGGGTAATTAGACCCACATGTGCTGGGACAGGAAAAGAAGTCTATTATTTTAATGTTTTTTAACATATTATTAATTTTTTTAATTAATGTTTATCCATTTTATTCTATTAATGTAATGGCCCAGGATGAAGATGGAAATTCCATCTGTCTCATTACACCAAGAGAACAGAGAAATTAAAAAATGTGCCTTTTGAAGCCAAGTATGAAACTGCCAGTGCCATCACTAAAAATGGTATAGGGCTGACACTCAGTTCAAATGTATGAAATTTCCAACAGTGTCACAACACGACTTTGATTTCCCAACAAGTTAATTTTTACAGGTTTGAGGATAAAGAACACAGCCTTTTAAAATGGTGTTGTCATCCTGAACTCATCCAAACCTGCTATCCGGTTTGTACATAGAGCACACAGAACGCATTTACTGTAACACACTGAAGCTGTTGAAGCAGAATGTGCAAAATTTCCCACTTAGAACAACTGGATAACGTGAATGGAGAAAAACAGCATTTAAGTATTCTAGACGATCTTTTGAGGTTAAAATAAACTTTCTTAGATAGGAAGACCAAGCAATAACAAGTATGGAGCACAAAAGTAGAATTTACCTGTCACTAGTACAATTAAGGCAAGTGAGATAACACACATATGGAAGAGGATTTCCGACTGGAAAAGAGAACAGAAAAGATGCACCAACTAAATCAATTCTTACATATTACTGGCAGATGCAAAACATTATTTGCAAATGCTGAATATTTTTCTAACTGCCAGCCCTCACGATGTAAATTAATATTTAATTCCAATAAATTGCCCGATGAAATCCATTCAAGTTTTGGTCACAAGAGGATTGATTAAAACACCTAGTGGAAACTGATGGAAGGACTTCATGATTTGATCCTTACTGCATCAATTTTCTGTGCATCATTCCAAAAACACGAAGAGGATGCTTACGTAAAAACAGAATAGCATCTTATTTCAAAACTGGACTTTTTGGATTGGGCAAGAGGGGCTTTCTTTATGATCTCTGACGGTAAACTCGTCTCATTGTAGAAGTAGCCACGTTATCATGCTTTTTCAGAGGAACCTTGAATAAAGACCTTTGTTGTCTTCATGCTGAACACTCATGGGGAAGAAAAATAAATTATAGTGAAGACTTTTTAAATTTAAAATTAAAAGTCTCTCTTGTACAGAAAGTATAAAATTTCCAGGCAATATCCCACTTGAATTTAAAACCATCAATATGGGAAAAATACTCTGGCATAGCTACTTCAGGAAATCTCCAACTTCTGGGAAGTCTTCAGTCAAAAGTCCAAGCTACTTGCTGCTAGCATTCGCTGCTGGTTTGAATTCCTCCTGTTAGTGTGAAGGGTCGTGCAGACAAGTGAACATTAAAGTGGTTTTTGAAACCTAAGTATCAATATTAGAATCCTCTGCAGAAAATTTGGCAAATTCTGTCCTGATTTCTGTAGTGGGTTTGACCCTACAGTTCATGTTTCCCATGGACTCCTTACTACCTACTTCCTTAGGTTGTTCTTTTGGTGTGAAACCATTATATTTGTTCCAAGAAACAGGGGGAGTCTGCCTGATGGAATGCAGTTTCCACTGGCATAACCAATGGAAGATTTTTGGCAAAGAACAGGGAGAGGAGTCAGTAAACGAAAAGGCTGCGCATTCCTCCTTTATAATTGTCTTTCTCCTCTTTTTTCCGTACTTACCAATTTCTACAACTACCCATTTTTCTTTTGGCAACCACACTTTCTGGACATTCTTAAAGGTTTTCTTTAACATCTGTTTATCATTACTTATCACAGAATATGTCAGGCTAAGATACCTATGTCTGCTTTTACTATGACAATACAGTCAAATAGCCTGTTTACCAACACATTTCTATGTAAAGCTAAAGAAGTCTAGATAAAATGATACAGTAGAAACAGCTCTTTGACTCTCTTTTCCTTTGGATTATTATAATATTCTGATTAGCAGAATTTCCAGAGGAGTTCTTGCAACTTACCTTAAATAAAATACTTATACAAAGTATTTTAACAAAGATGCTTTAACTAGATGAAACTAGATGATCTTTAAGGTCCCTTCCAACCCAAACCATTCTATGATTCTATCACATGACAAGTTTTGAAAGATTTGAGCCATATAGCTGGCTAAAGCCAGAGCTGATTAAAATGTTAATAAAATGTTTATCTTGTAAATACTAATAGAGGACTAGTCAAGAAATTATGATAAACTGATGACACATTTACAGACAGAATAAAAGCACAGCGGTGGAAGAAAAGTAACAAAAGCAGCTGCGACATGCTGTTTCATAGTACAATTTCTAAAATCAGTCTTACTTTTCAAAATTATAAACAAGAGGTATTCAGAGATAGATCACAGGAGAACCCTGTCATGGAAGACAAAGCAGGCTGAACAGTTCCTTCTGTAGAGGTGTCATACAGAATAATTTTACCCTTATTTTAACTTATTTTAAACCCAAGAATTACGATTCCTTCATTAACATTCTTCAAGATTCCCACAGATACACCAAATACCTGAAATTTCATCTTCTCCAAACACTGCAAGGAATAGAAAAACTACATATTTTAGGTATTTTTACAGACACTGTAGATACTGGTATTATTGACTACTTAAGCTGACAGAAAACACACGATAAAGAATCTGTATCTAATTCTATCCTGCATCAATTGCTTAAATAATGAAAGAACAAGAAGTGATAGAAAAAAAGATAGGTCCTATATATAAAGCACAACCAGACATGGACAAAAAAAGATAATCAGGACAATTCAAAACCATTACAAACCTTGCCTGATCTTATGACTTTCACTCTGAGGCTCTGCTGACTCCTTTGGTGTCCCTTTGTTGTGACAAGCTTTAGGTGAACCTCTACTGTTTCTCCCTGGTTGAATCTGTGAAGCACTGAGGGACAGAGGTCTCTTATTCTGTGTATCGACTGGTTTATTAGGAAATTGCGAGACGCTGGTAGTCTTCTCTAGATTTGCAGGACTCTGTTGTGCTCGAAACCTGTTTTGTTCCACATTCTGCATCCCTTTCTGTAGCTTGGCTTCTTTTCTCTTACTTTCCTCTTCACGTTTCCTGTAATTATAATCAATACCATAGGAACTCCAAAGACAAAATCTTGGGAGCATGTATCTAATTTGAACACATTCCTCTTAGAAACTTGACACTGCCACAAAAAAACCTTGACTAGAATACCTTTTTTGTGAGAAAGGGATACCTATTGCACGGAAGTGTCTTAGCTTGATCCAAAATAACCACTGGTGGGTAGCTACAGCCTAATGAAGGTTAAGTCCTTATCAGCCACCTACCCGTTCAGTGTGCAGCAGTTTAAACTGATTTTAAAACACTCTCTTATTGAAAACATTGAAATTTTTAGCTTTTCTTTATAAATATACAAAAGTTAAAAACAGGATCTTATCAGAAGACAAGAAATATGGTACTAGTAATTATGTTTTTAATTAATAACGAACAATGCTTTAGTATTAGTAGTAAAGCAATGCACTGCATTTTAAAATCAGAAAACTTTAATAAAAGGCATCATCTCTTTGAAAATTATTTTTCATACTTACCTGTGTCATAATACAGACAATTATAAACCAACTTCAAACCGGTTACTGGTACTAACTTGCTGCTACATGCTTATGATTGGTAGATAATTTATTTTGCATAAGCCGATTATAGATTATAGACCATACAAATGGTAAATAATGAAAATATGAGGTGCCATTACAGTTATGACATTTGGTTTTCAAAAATTAAAGAATTCATGCATCTCCTAAGCAGCGCAGATAAGAAAGAGAATTTTGGGCAAGGTCAGGAAAGGCGCATCTGCCGAATGAAGTTTTACAGCCTATTTTGAAAGATTGTGGGATATCACCGCACTGCAGCTTTTAAATTCTTTTCCCTATTTTTAACAAACCCAACAGCACGCAGCAAACATTACACACCTACCGACCACTGCATTTGTTTTTATAAATTAAGCACCAGTTGGAAGATAAAGTGAGACTTCTCCTGTTGGAACGGACAGGTGGTAAATGTCGTACAGTGTAGCTGCCTGATATTTTAACTCACTTCCAATGCTACAACGTGGTTTGCAGACTGCTGACACGTTCGCTCGCCACACAGCATATGACAGGTTAGTTATGCAGCGCGCCACCCTCCGCTCCGGCGAGCCGTGTCAATGCCAGTAGATGTCATTTCAGTGCGAGCTGCCAGCAAGACGCCTTAGCTTTATCTGTCAGTGCTATCTTATCAAGTATGCTCTGCAGAAGCAGCTCATTGAACTCTGTACCTGAAAAGCTGCTAATTGATCTCAAAAATACACTCCTGGCAGCCTGAGGTTCAGTATTCCCTCTGGCATGGAAAAAAAAGCGGCTGGTTTCAATTAATATCGGCACTTTACAACTGGACTATGTGGGGATGTCTGCCTCGTGTACAGTATGGATCTCGCTGCCATTACTCTGCCATTTGAGCTGATAAATCAGATCTTACCACTCACAGAACAGTCATTTTCTTTTCTTCACAAGAATCAAGCAGCCTGTTACCAATATTCTCCAGTCAGGTATTAAAAAAGAAAGTGAGGTGAGCTGTGTGATACACAACTGAGGCAGAGTGGCCTGTGCTCTTTGGATCAGCGAATGAACTCAAAACAGCAACTTCAGCAACACACTACTCGTAAAGTTACTGAAATGACACAGGAACACAAACTGAGAAAAAGTACGAAGGGATTTTTTAAAAAAGGTCTTGTTTGTGTGCCAATCCTTCATTTTGAAATGAAAAAAAAACCCCAAATGAAAGGGATTTCAAAGCTCCCTCTTCACAGACCATTATCCCAGTTGTCACACTAGAGCTCAGCTCATTAAAAAAATCCTGAATACTTACAAACCTCCCCCTTTTGTTCTGCTTTATTTAGTCAGAAATTGTTTGTCTTGCAATGAAGGATATCTTCAAAATGAAATTTTCCACATTTTACTGTTGCCTAAGCTGAGAGGTTAGGTTTCATGAACAAGTAAAGGAAGCAGGCAAGTTCCTAACTTAAGGGGACTCGATCATGCTCAGGAGGTTCCGGTGACTCAACAGGATCCAAACTTGGGTTCTGAAGTCAGACAACTACAGCTCGATAGCGATAACAGAGCTGGCAGGCCAACATTTTTCACTATACTTGCAACACATTTTCGACCTGAATGGTCATAAATTTGTACTTTGTTAAAACTGCGAGAAAATGGGAACAGAGCCTTTAGCAGCTGGAAAAGAACAGTTTCAGCCTTACACATTTGTGAAGACATAAAGGTGCTTTGATTTTTTGATTCTGCTAAGATGTATTCTGTTAAGAATACTTTGCTTTTTGTGTCTGCTCTGTGGAGGACACTAAAAAACCAGAATGTGCCCATGTCCCTGGATGACATTTTTAAAGCTATCCTTAAAAAAAAAAAAAAAAAAAAAAGTTACTTAAAAAATTGTAATTGAAAATAGATCTCCAGGTATGATCTTACTACTGCTGAAACTTAATTTAGATTAAGAGAACTTATATTTCATGTTGTATAAACAGCCACCTCCTGTCATACAATCTAGCATGATGCTTGTTTTTAAAAGCATGACACTATTGATTCCCAGGTCCAGCTTCTGACCTACTAAAACCTTTTAACATAGTCCTTAATAAAAATGCCAAGACAGTTTCGTCTCATATTTCTATACTGATTGGTCTCCCCAAATGTGTAGAGCAGTCCATTTGTCCTTACATAACTACCTATTTTTTCCTCAATCATTTCTCATATTATTTTAACACCATTCTGATTTCTAATTTAGTCTTCAATGAGCTTACGGTCTTCTGCATCTTGGTGCTATTTGCAAATTTAACAGTTTACTTTTTTAAATGAAAATATTGCACAGCCTCAGATTCAGGATGGATTTAGGCAAAATGCTCATCAATATACACTTCCAGTTTAAAGTTGAACCATTAAGAAGTGCTTTTTGGATGTGTTCTTCTAAGCAGATTTCACCCACCTCATAGCAGCTTCATTCACGCTACATTGCCCTATATTGCTAGTGAGGGAGAAGGGCACATGAGAAAGTATGAGAACTTCAGGCAAGGCTGTCACCCTGGCCACAAAAATTGTTACTCTGTCACAAAAGAAAATTGAGTTAGTCTGACATAATTTCTTCTTAGCAAATTCAGACCAGCCCTTACTTCTTGCTTTGTTATGTTCCAGATACATAGAAATTTGATTACTCATTCCAGGGTAAGAAAGGCACGGAGTTACTGTAAAGAGCCCAGTGAAAGGCCATGGAGCAGCTTAAGGGACTGGAGGATCTTCTACATGAGAAGAGGTTGAGAGAGCTGAGATTAATCAGCCTGGACAAGAGAAGGCTCAGGGGAATCTCAGCTATGTCTATAAATACCTGATGGGAGGGGATGAAGAAGATGGAGCCAGACCGTTCTTTGTAGCACCCACGGACAGGACAGCAGACAAAAAGCATAAACTAAAACTCACTAAATTCCATCTAAACACAAAAAAATTATTTTCTTTATTTTTTTACTGTGAGGGTGGTCAAACACTGGAACAGGTAGCCCACACAAGTTGTAAAGTCTCTGTTTGCACAGATATTTAAAACCTGATTGGACATGGTCCCAGGCAAGCTGCTCTGGCTGACCCTTTGAGCAGGGGCAGGGGCGGACTAGATGATCTCATGATGCCCTTTCCAACCTCTTGGAAATTCTGTTTTTGGGACTAAAGTTTATCAGTCTACAGACTCCTCTTCTTCCACTCTGAGAATACAAACATTTTGCTCATTTCATGAATTCTCCAGTCCTATGGGTCCTCCTCAAGTTTTTAAGGGCATCCGTTTTAAAATTACATCACCCAGTTTTCTAAACACCTAAGGCTAAGCTGATCTGAGTAACAGCATACACATTGTTGTGGCCTTCATCAATCTTAATTTTATAAATTATTTCTTTGATACAGGTTTGTTCAACATGGGAGAGTATGTGTGTATAGAAATATTTAGCAGGCATTGAATACAATTAATGTATTTTTGTGAGAAAATAATAGAGGTCTGAGATGTTGGCTGATTTTTTGTTACGTAAAAAAAAGAACAGACATTAAAAACATGCCGACTTAGAAACTATTCGTATTAGTGAGACTATCTAAAATAACATAGTAGAAAGCAAGTTTTAAATACATACACAGAAATAGTTGAGGGGCTCTTCAATCTAGTTCACCATCATTGTGCGTTCCCACCTAACGTCTACTTTTACAATCTTTAAACATCAGCAGGGATATTAGGTTTTTTGCATGTAACAACACCCTGGCCGATTTTAGCAGTGGAAGGCACAGATGGGTACGCAGAACGATGACAACATAATGTCCCCTCCAGTTTATTACAGATCATAAAACTGTAATTAAATAAAATTTGTTATGTGACAACTTGATTTGCTTGTACAGTCCAATTGTATTTTAATTCTGTTTTTATGGTATTTGGTATACAGACTTGGTTTCTATTGTTTGCAAGCAAACCAACAACAGCTTAGTAAACTCCAGAAAATATATCAGAAACTCACAAAGAAAAACAATTATAAAAACACCTCCAAATTTCCACATGGTAATCCTTTTCTATTTAGACTTCTAGACGGAGTATCACAGATTCCTCTAACAATGGCTGTCATCGCAAAGAATGAAATTACTTCATTTGGTAAAGCCAGTTGTGACCACACAGCAAGAAGCAGAGAGCTCCAAATTAAAAAGAAATACAGAAGATATTCAGGATATTTTCAAAGACAGCTTCTCCATGCATGGGTTTGACTTCTACTGACTTCAGCAGAAAAGGCAAATAACAGGAAGGTTGCAAGTCACAACTCTCAGAACTGAAGATGTGAGCAAGAGATTAGTTATCTGATATTTCTAGCTTCGATGCTTACTGGGAATTAACAATTATTAACCAGTAGCAGCATTCAAACTCAAAGAAGGTCAGGCTGGCCAGTTATGCAGAGCTTCAAATTACAGCATTTGAAACAGAGCAGAGTGCAGCTGACTTTGTCTATGATACACAAATGCAAAAAAAATACCCCCAAACGCAATAATCATGTTGCGGGGCTTTTTCAGATGACCTCTCTTTACAGAAATAATGCTATAAAAACATGCAGAAATCTTTTTAATTCCAGAATTGTATTTCTTTAAGAGAAATCAGATACTAATTTGGTCTTCTTCGTATTCTGAATCTTAACCATAAAGCATAAGCAGGCAAAGTATTTCAGCGTTCATTTATGTACCTTCCAATTTTAGAATTTCACTACTTTGCTACCATTACTTCATTTAAACAGGGTAGGAACTCAGTCAGAACCTACACATCTTACAAATAACTATTAGGATTGCATATGTTAGTTATCCATAATCCAATATAATGGTTTCATGATAACTCTCTTATTCAAGAACAGAAAATTTAAGTGCAAAGAATGATACTGTCAAGAGAGAAATTGCCAATAAAATCCAAGTGTTCAGTTTGCTAGAAAAGCACGACCTCCTCTGTGAAATACTAAATTATGCTTTATTAAAAAACCAGGCTTCTCCTGATTTTTGGTTCATCTACTTGTTAATTTTTTTTTCAAAAGTGATATCAAAGGATGGATAGGTCAGTAATTATTTCCACTGCCTCAGAGTGATAAATTGTTTCCAAGCCTTTTTGTCATCATACAGAACATCGTGTAAAGATTCACAGATGCTAACATGCTAGTTTCTCAGCTTTTGGTGTTTTGTCTTGTTCTTGTATTACTATACAATGTATATTAATATAAGCCTCGTTATTTAATGTGGGATTATCTGGGAATTAATTTCCATCTACAGGTGCACAAAAAAAAAAAATCCATTCTATGCTTCGTACAGTTTCATGAACTTTCCTACGAGGAACAAAAACTGATTATGAGTAACAGGTAAAATTATACAAACTTAGGACAACTGTCTATTTGGCAGAGTAGATTTCAAGTCTCAGACTTACTTGGCAGCAGCATCTTTTCTCAGCTGTTCATGTTTCATTAGGAGATTCTTCCTCTCTTGAAAAGCCTTCCTAACTTTGTATCCTTTGTAGACAGCCTGAATTTTGAACGCAGCAATGTCCTGTATGGCAGCTATAGACAGAGCCCCATGTTCTAACATGAACTGAATCACTTCATGGTGTTCACCAAGCAAGGCGTAATCAAGAGGAGTATATCTGAAAAAAACCCAAACCAACAACAATTATCACTCAAGTAGAGCTCTAAACATGACGTACATTTATTTCATCTTCCTTTCACAATAAGGCAACTTCTAGTTTGAAGACAGATTAAACACTGCTCTCCGTGGGCTGCTTTACTAACTTTTTAATATTATTTTCCTGCCTTACTCATTCTATACATTGCCATTATGTTTAAGGCTTGCAGCATACATGGAGAGTTGGATAAAAAAAATCCAAAGCTTTATGCATAGAATTAACTGCTTTAGGCAAGAACCTTAAAAAGGTGTTATTGAGGTTCTCATATAGAAATACAACTGAAATAAAAAGCAAATTCAAATTATTTTATTTTTTGTTATTTCCATACGAATTTAAGTTCTAGAGATTTACTGTCAAATCTGGTTTAGCTTCTCTAACAATGACTGTGTACGGCATGACTGACCAAGCAGCAGGATTATACCTGCATCAAGGGACAATATGTTTTTAAAGAACTAGAAAGACTTAAGTCTGTTTTCAACTAGACACAGGTGCTAAAATGGCTTTGCTTTTTAATGGTGTTAGAGATGCCCAAAAGCCCTTTTAAAAATATTTCCCAAAGTTCCCATTGTCAACACGGGAGGAAAATTTACAATACCTCTCTCATCAACACTGAAACATCAGGTAAAGACATTCACTGACTGAAAATTAGCAGTCCCAAACCATAACCAAGACCATATAATACAAGACTATTAAACAGCAAGTGTGCAAATTGGGGCTCTTCTTGACAATAACTTGCTGGGACGCAATGCTGGTGAGCAAAGGAAAACAGACAGAAAGCACAATTGGACTTGCCACACAGCAATGGTTTGATGGAAGGATTAACAGTATCTGAACTCAAGTGTCTGCAGGAATAAAGCCAATGACATAACATGAAAATTTGTATGTCAAGGTGTGTGGCTGGTAGCATTTAAAGAGATACAGATTTTTTGATAACCTGTGCAGGGAACTTCAGAAGGGAACTCATTTCAGAAAATTGCTTTTTTAAAGTATACCTAGTTTTGAATATTCTGATTTAAAGGTACAGAAGATACTAAAGTAAACTTAATGCTACTAGCATGTACGGACCAAGACAAAGTAGTATACTACAGGTCCCAGTCAGGAAGACCCCTATTTTTAAACATGGATCCTCTAACTCCATTAGAGCTACCTTTGATAGTAAAAAAATCACTCAAACCAAATCTATATAGGGGTTTGTATGGCTGGACACCGTTGAAGGCTACTCACATACACTCCCTCACAAGCAGCCATTGCTCTGTTGTGCCAGTTCAAAGCCTGTTTTTTGTTTTTTTTTTCCCACTGGTTCTCTCTAAATCAGACAGCTTTTAAATGAAGCTGGCTCCACAGGAAAACATGCGAAGATGACATCAGCCATCAGCTGTTGTATGTAGTTTAGCACAGAGCTCGTCAAGCAGCAGGTAGTTTGGCTTCACATGATGAATCCAGGACATCCGAGTTGGATTATGAAATAAATTTGCAAAGAACAACGAACCTACCACCCTCCAGACTAGCATCTGATCACATCTCTGCAAAGTAAGCAGACATCCGAAAATCCTAGATGTAATCTCAGCTCCATCTCTTCACAGACCTGTTTGGTTTTAACCCCAACGTCTGAGTTTTGAACTGATACATACATATCACAGAATCACAGAATGTCAGGGGTTGGAAGGGACCTCTGGAGACCATCTAGTCCAACCCCCTGCCAGAGCAGGATCCCCTAGGGCAGCCACACAGGAACGTGTCCAGGCGGGTTTTCAAAGTCTCCAGAGAAGGAGACTCCACAACCTCTCTGGGCAGCCTGTGCCAGGGCTCTGTCACCCTCACAGTAAAGAAGTTTCTCCTCATGTTGAGGTGGAACTTCCTGTGTCCTAACTTAAACCCATTATTCCTTGTTCTATTGCTGGGCACCACTGAGAGGAGATTGTCCCCTTCCCCTTGACACCCACCCCTCAGACATTTATATACATTAATAAGGTCCCCTCTCAGCCATCTCCTTCCAAGGTTAAACAGCCCCAGTTCTCTCAGTCTCTCTTCATAAGAGACATGTTCAAGTCCCTTAATCATATCACACTCTAAGGAAGTGAAGGGAAGCTTTTTCTATAGGTATATTGGGAAAAAAAATACTATTTAGTGAAACTGTTACTGATTAAAAACCAATTTCATCCAATTACAGATGAACCGTATCTACGAGGTTTTATTACTCTCTCTTATTTGAATTGATTTTTGCACTTTCCAAGCCTCCAATCTCCCAACAATAAACCAAGGTCTTGCAGATGTCTATTAAGAGGCAATTGTGGAATTTTGATACACTATGTATTTTTTTATGGGAATTACATGTAGACTAATTCATCTAGAAGTACTGGGGATCTGTTCTGTTCTGCGCATGGACTAGTGCTTAAGGGCTGACATTTGGAATAGTGCTGCTTATATTTGGAGTAATCTATGCCTATATATAAGAACATATATTAATGCCAGAAGGGAAATAAAAACTGATACTAACTGAATGACTATAGTAAAACCACAGATAAGGTCTCTTCCTGACATTTGAGCATCACTGGTACATTTCTACAAAGTAAGGAAAATAGCAGCCTCCTTTCTGGTAAAACAGTGGCTTTTAATCTTACTTATTAAGAGTAATTTAATTACAACTATTTATTTAATTTTCTATCAAAAAATACTAAAGAAGGCATTGGCACTACTTAATTAGGAATCACTTATACCTTCATTTGTGTTTCTCAGAAAAAATAAGAACAGAAAAGGAAGAGAGATCTGTTAAAGTAGAGAAAAAAAGAGAAAGGGAGGAAGAAAGTAACTGAAAACTGGGAAGCATGTAAGCCGCAAATTTAGCACTAAAATATGGGGTTTCAAAGTCCTTAAGTCATTTAGAATTTGAAATATTCAAATTTATATGCCATACTGATCATACTTTTATTTATAATTATGAGGAGGTCATCTACTCTAAAAAAGGCATTGTAAATTTCTGCTAATAGCAATTATCATCACAGTCAGGTGACTAATTCGAACGTCACAACCCAAATCACTTTTTAAAAAACTATTAATTATATGTCAACGAAAGACAAAGAAAAGAGATGCAAATGCACTGTCTCTTCATGATTATAGTAGGGGTTTTTTTAAAAAAACTAGGCTTTTAGAATACAGCTACCCACCAGGTAATTTGTAACCACTATTTTAAAGCATAACATTACATTTCTCCCGTTTTCTTTCTTCTCACTGTATTCCAACCAAAGAAAAAAGAAAAATTCCAGTCTACTCCAACTGCAGAAGAAATGCTTTTTCATCTTCTGTCCATACATACCCACTGTCAACTTCATATAAATGAAAAAGATCTTTAACATTTCAAGTAAGACTAGAATGAGTAAATATTTGCAGAAATCTCTGTGAGTTCAAGGTTCAAAAGTATAAAACAGCCGAAATTGCAATATCTTACTTCAGAAGAGATTTTTTGCATTAGAAAAGCTGCTTACACTGAAGCCTAAGATTACAACACTCCTTTTAGATACAAGATCACGATTCCCTGGCAATATCTGAACACCTAACATTTAAATCAGTAAGTAGCACTTTTGTTAAATTACAAAATAAATGCATTTAGACAAGCAATACCTCTCCTCGCTGTTCTCCATATGATTAGGGAAAGCATCAAAACCAAGCAGCAACTTTATAGCATCAAGGTAGCCATTGTTACAGAGCCAGTGCAAAGCAGTTCTTCCCTGTAAACACCAGAACAGAACAAAAACAAGTATTACCCCCAAACTCTATCATGCCCAGTTACAGTCACAAACCATACTGTACTTCGATGCTTTTCTGGACATGAAGGATAAACTAATTCTTCTAAATAAACTTCCTTTTTAAAATAAAAGAACATAGCACTTAAAAACGAAGTGTTTGTTTAGTTTATTTTCTTGTTAAACGAGATCTTTTTCACCTAAAGCAGGTGAAAACCAGCATCAGGATACTTCGTTCTAGAGCTGATTTCTTTGCAGCTATGCTACCCAGGTCTGAAAGAACTCTGAGGAAACTTTGTAGTTGAGACTGTTTTCTAGACTACTCCAAAAGAATGTGACAAGACCAAAAGAATTACTACAGAATTCAAAATGAGATGAAGTTTGAGGAAAGCTTATCAGGCTAGGCAAAGAAAGGCTCCAGCCATGCTTTCAAAACAAGCTTGATTTCAGAAGTCCAGCTCTCAAGCTGCACTCTGTACAGCCAGCTCATATATAAGCCCTTCTTGGAGCTGGGGTCACAGAACGACAATATGAGTACCTCAAGCTCTGGTAACATCAACACAACAGAGACATTCCAGTTCACTTCCACACCATGCCCCTTGTCTCTGTCTTGCCTCTCAGAACTCCAAATGCAGGAAATACCCAGAAGGCTGGGCACCACAGAAAAACATGAAGACATTCCTGAGTTCAGTGCTAGCAAGTCACCTCCCATGCCCCAAGGGCTGAGGAGCATGCTGCAGCCTCTTGGTGGGAAACAGGTGGAGCTGATGTGTTCAGCCGACAGCATATAGAGCTGGTAATAGGTTGGAAAAATCTCTCCAGTATTCTCTGAAGAACTCGTAAAAAAATCTCCACTCTTCTATTTCCTGGAATTATCCATGCTCTACAAGGAATAGCTACAGAAAAGTTTAATAAATTGGCTGAAATTCTTTTGACTGGTGAAGTTCTACCATCTTCTGAGAAATTGTGTCACACAGGAAAGCTGTAGTATGTTGCGCAATTATTCTGGCTCCTAATTTCACTTACTGCTTCAATAATGGCACAAAAGAACATCTAAACTAATCAGTGTTTTTCTTGTCTGTAAGAGTGATACAGATGTGGTTAACTACTTATGTGGGTAATTGAAGCCGTTCTTGTGCAATCTCTTACTTGTGCATTACCTTACTTGCTCTATCTCTGTGCTGAAGAAACATCTTACAGACCATAAAATCACATTCCCATGCCAGCTGTTAATAAGGAACAATAGAGGTTAAGAAATCAGATGACTAATACAACTCATCATAAGATGACACTTTGATAAGGAAAAGTGATCAGGAAAAATACAAATCTTCAGCTGCAGCTGCATATTAAAACCCTACTTTTCATTCAAGATTTTATAAGTGAAGCTAAAGGGAAAATTATGAGGGTGCATTTCCTTTTGTGATAAGCAGCAGAAGACAAGATGCTCCCATGTCCTAGTGTATGGGGTTGGCTCAGCCGGATTTTGGTG